CGCATGAGCCCTAACAGACAGTTGACAAGGGAGAGCCAGGTCACCATCCCTCAGCATGGAGGTGATGGTACTATGGAAATGGTGTATTTCCCACTGTCATACTGTCAGCAGCCTACCTCCCAGGCGCACACAACTCAATAGCGGAAGTCTCAGTTGTAAATTTCCACAGTCATGACGGGGAGTTTGACTTGGTAGTACTTCACAATCTGTTCAGGCAGAGGGGGACACCAATCACAGATTGTTTGCCATTTACCTGGTCAAGAAATGTCCATGCTACTGATCCAGAGCAGGGCGAGCTCAACACTCTGGACAATGCTCTTCTCCCCAGGGACAGAGACCTTCTTTTCATCTCACCTCTTTTTCTCCTACTATTAGAGGTCTTGCCGAAAATAGTCAGAGCACACATCATTCCGGTCAGTCCTACTTGGGTGAGACAGAACTACAGGGTGGAAATCCCTGGTCCAGCACTGTCGGAACCTGAACAGTCCTGAACTAGGGAGTTTGCCAGACCTGGGGAGGTCAATGCTCCCTTGCTGGCTGTTCCACTTCCAGGCTCCTAAGGCAGGGGCTCCTGCTCACTGCTGCCGGGGGTTCCCCTGTCAGTACCACCCAGATACTACCAGCCCTGCTCGGACGCCACTGCCACTGGGGCTCCCTGGCCCAGGCTAACCTGCTGCTGCCCAGCCCTGCTGCTGCTGCCAGAGGTTCTCTGGCCAGGGCCAGCCAGCCCCCCCAACCTCACTGCCACTGGAGATTCCAGGGGTTCCCTGGCTGGGGCTGCCTGTCTGTTGATGCCAGGGGTTCTCTTGCCTCAATAACAGCAGGCCAGGGCCAGTCCTGCTTCTGCTGGGGCTTCCCCGGAGCTGCCTGGCCGCCGCATGGCCCTGCTGCTGCAAGGGGTTCCCCAGGTAGGGCAGGGACTCCCCATTTGCTGCCTGGGCCAGCTGACATTAGAGATTCCCTGGCCAGGGCAGAGGCTCCCCCGTTCACGGTCTGGTCCTGCTGATGCCAGGGGTTCTCCAGCCAGGCTGGGGCTCCCCAGTTGCCACTTGGCCCAGCCACTGCTGGCCCAGCCAGGGCTCATTCTCCCAGCTGGCTCCCGCTCTCCACCTCTGGGGCTTCTTGGTCCTGCAACATCTGTGGTTGTGTTGGACCACGGATGTTGCCAAACCAGAGAGTCCTGGATTTGGGAGGTTCAACCATACTACCCTTACCTGTCACAGCTTACAATGTGCCCAGCGAGTCTCTCCTTGTCTCTCTTTACCTTCTTGTCCACTTCAGAGGACACACCCTACATTCCAACTTGGAGGTTCTACACCTCATGGTTTCAGACAACTAGAAAGCTTCTGTTCAGTGGAGGTGCAGAAGATATTGCATAAGAATGGCCATACTGGGTCAGACTAAAGGTCCATCTAGTCCAGTATCCCGACAGTGGCCAATGCCAGATACCCCAGAAGGAGTGAACAGAACAGGGAATCTTAAACAATCCCTCTCCCGTCACCCATTCCTAGCTTCCGACAGAGGCTAGGGACACCATTCCTATCCATCCTGGCTAATAGCCATTGATGGACCTAAATTCATCATGAATTCATCTAGTTCTTTCTTGAATCCTGTTAAAGTTTTGGTCTTCACAACCTCTTCTGGCAAGCAGTTCCACAGGCCGACCATGTGCTGTGTGAAGAAAAACTTCTTTTTGTTTGTTTTAAACATGCTACCTATTAATATCATTTGGTGTCTCCTAGTTTTTACGTTATGGGAACAAATAAATAACTTTTCCTTATTTACTTTTTTCATGCCAGTCATGATTTTATAGACCTTTATCATATCCCTCTTAGTCTCCTCTTTTCTAAGCTGAAAGGTCCCAATCTTTTTAATCTCTCTTCATATGGGACCTGTTCCAAACCCCTAATAATTTTTGTTGATTACCCAGCAGAAAGTTCTCAACAGAACATACTTACCAGCAAAAATGGTCCGGGTTTTGGATTTGATGATGTTCCCAACAAAACTCCCCAATATCCAGGACTCTTCCACATATCTTAAACTAGGCATTGGCCTGAAAAAGACTTGGGTTATCTCTAAGCTCTCTGAGTATACCTAGTAGCTATAATAGTCTTCCACCAACCAGGAGAAAGCTACTCAGTACTGTCATGCCCATCTACCAAAAGTTTTCTCAAGCACACAGTAAACCTTTCCCATAACCTCATCTTCCTACTGCCACATGGGCCTGAACCCTGGTACTGAAAGGAATGATCTGTTCTCCTTACATACCTCTCTGTGAAAAACCTCCTCCTTCATAGCAAATGCCTTCTCTAGGAGAAATAGCTGATTTATGGTGTTCTTTGGTAAAGGCCACTTCCAAAATGATTCCTAAAGTATCCTCCCAAGTTTCACGTGAACCAATTGATTTATCCTGATCTTCTACCCCAAGCCTCACCAAGACAACAGGGAGGCTATATATTATACACCCTATATGTCAGGAGAGCCCTAACAGTCTATCTGGACAGGATGAAGATTATCAGGAAATACTCTCTCCCCTCCCCCCACCATCCTCGTTTTTCCTCTTCATGCGGAAAGCTCCAACAGCTCAGCAATATCAGCCAAAAGACTCTCCAAGTGGGTCTTGAACTGCATCAGACACAAGTTTGCAACATGATCCCTCCAAATACTGTCCATACATACCCCATGTGGCTGATTTTTTCATTCTTGAAGTCAACAATGGATGTCCCTATCTCAGAAATCAGTAGAGTGGTGACACAAGCGTCAGTTCACACTTGTGCAGAGCATTATGTTATCACTGGGGACTCTGCTGTCGATGCCATCTTCGGCTCCACAGTACCTGTAACTGACCCAGCCCCAAAGTCGCAGCCCTCCACACTGCTCGGGAGCCATCTATAGGACACTACTCAAAGCTGTTCTCTTCGTGCAGTAACAATGTGTGTCCCTGTGAGGGTTCTACAACCTGCCCTTCTACTTCTGAGTTCATGTCAATAACACTGGTAGAGAAGGAACTGAGGTGGGATTAGTCTGTGCACGCTGGCTAGCCTTGGCACAAGGAGCTAGCATGTGTACTAGCCTAATAGCCACTGCGACCAAAGATCTCCAGTGAGCAGTGTGGGAATGCAAGTGCACCTACAGTAGAGCACCCATAGGGGAACACATCTCGAAGAACCATAATTACTGCACAAGGTGAGTAACTTCTTCTTTGCTAGTACTAAGATTTTAAACAAAACATGTTTTTTGGACTATGGATACAGTGTGTACACTCAGACTTGTTTAGACTGAAAGAGTTTTTTAAATGTTATCACTTCTTAAACGTTAGTCAATCTCATGTGGGTAAAGGCTATGATGTTGAAAAATGTATTAGCTGGCCGTGGTCATAAAAGATGTGATCGTAGGGTATACTAGCTAATGCTTTATAACTAATATGTTTGAAAATTCTAGTTTAAGTTTCTGTGTAACATAACATGTGCCGCGCTGATTGAGTTAAAGCTTGAAGCCTGTCTATAGATTTTATCTTGACCAGCTAAGCATGCTTTAAGTTACCCAGTGCCAAGTTTATACTTGATTTTTCAAATGTATCAGAACTTATTAGATAACATGTCCCACCATTACATGTTTAAAACCTGATCTACCCAAGGATGTGGTTGACCATGACTAGAATATCTTTAAATATCAATCCATATCCTTGGTGATGTGTGAAAATATGCATATATGTTAGCTAACATGTTGTAAAAGAGCACTCATTTTTGCAGTCTACACAAATGCTCAACGGGAATTTCTTTTTTTACCCTTACTTCTCCTGGAATTAAAATTGGCATCTCTCCAAGGTGAAACATGGAATGCTCTGTTTCTGGACCTTTATCCTTCATACGTGTTGTTCAGTAGCAATTATGTCCTGAAAGGAGATCATCAAGTCATTCCTCCTTCCCATCTTCCTTTGTGGCTGATGCAGTTTATGTGTAATTGAAGTTCTTGGGCAATGCAATATCCATTTATCATTTGCGTGTCTCCATGGAGAGAAGACTCCCACCACAGGTAGAATCTGACTTCTGCCAAATTTACTGATGAAACAGCTGCCTGGGAGAAATGTCGAAGAAGCTATCCAAGAAGGAAAGCCATGCTTTAACAATTGTAAAACCTGAACAGAAGGAATGTATATCTTATGCTTCATGTTGCTTTTGTCTTATTGGCATAAGACATTGAGGAGGGAGTTATATTTTTATCTGTTCTGTCATCTGGGTCACTTCCCCAGTGTGGATTATTGTTAGACAAATTCTTGTAGGAGAGAGAAGAACTTGGTGTATTGAAAGAAAGAATGAATATATGAGACAAGAAGATATCTGTACATGAAAAGTTTAACTTGTTGGCAGTAGTTGGCACAGTTAGTTACTCTCGTTATTGTAAGGTGTTTTCTTCCATTTTGGAAGTCCTGTTCTTGGAAATAGCAGCCAGGGTGCAAAGCTTGAATAGCATGTCCTGGTTCCATGACTGTCAGTTCTGTACTGTCTTCATCTCTGCATTGCAGAAGCAGCAAGCCCAGTTGTATAAGATTTGCCAGATACAGATAGGATTTTCAGAAGTGTCTCAGTGACTTAGTAATGCAAGTCCCATTAATTTGTGCTCCTAAATCACTTAAAATCTTTTAAAATCTAACCAGTATTTTGTAGAAACGAAAACAGTAACCGGTAAGAAAAAAAATTCTTTACGTGTATTTTATAACTTTTATGTGATTCAAAAACAGGTGAAGAGCAAAGTGGTGTGTTGTAATAGCAGAGCATCTTATTAAACCTTTGCTTTCAGTCAAGTATTTCTGGAATTCAGGGTCTAGAGCTCGTTAGTTTTATGGCTGGGAAGAGTTTATGTGGGGAAGTTAAGTGCAGAAAGTGTTTAGGTGTTTGCTTAAATTCTGCTTGTCTACTATAATCAATACACTATAAAATTACTGCACTGATTTCTTTTGACTTATTTTCTTTCTCTCTCTCTCTCTTTTTCTGTACAAGCACTCCTATCTGGACAGGGAAACATCCCTCCTTCTGAGAAACATTGCAGGAAAGCCTTCTCATTTGCTGACCAAGGTGATGCATCATCTTTCCACCCGCATGTGACTTTTTTCTTGTTGATAGAATGCTGTTTCCACTTGTGGGTTTATATGCTTAATGTTCACTTCTTCTTCACCCCTCTCTCCAAAAAACCTCTGTTGCATTTACTAGTGACTTTTCCTCTCGTCAGACTGTTTTTAAAGGATGACTCATTTTAAATATACTCTGAGGTAATGCAAATATCCAGCAAAGATTCCAAGTTCTTGGACAGCTTGTAATATTCATGCTTGCATTTTTAGCTAAAAATCAAATGGAGTCTGTGGAATATAAAAGTTTGGTTCCCCTCTGCTTTACAGGTATAAAAATCAAGCTGTGGGAAGCACATACAGGCAGTCCCCGGGTTACGTACAAGATAGGGACTGTAGGTTTGTTCTTAAGTTGAATCTGTATGTAAGTCGGAACTGGCGTCCAGATTCAGCCGCTGCTGAAACTGATCAGTTTCAACAGCGGCTGAATCTGGACACCAGTTCTGACTTACATACAGATTCAACTTAAGAACAAACCTACAGTCCCTATCTTGTACGGAACCCGGGGACTGCCTGTATTTGCCCACCCCTGCCCTAGCAGCTTGCAACTACAGCAATGAATGTCTCCTATTCCCTTTCCTCTGTTTCCTCTGTTAAAGATTTTCAGTTTTTTCCTCTTTTCCATTGCATTTTACTGTGGTGTGTGAAATCAGGAGTCCTGCAATGTACCAAAGTCAAATAAGATTTTAAATGTGAGCATGTCTCTCTATCTGTTTCCTATTAGTTTCTATGTCTCAGAGGGGTAGCTGTGTTAGTCTGTAACTTTAAAAAAAAAAAAAGTGTCGTCCTGTAGCACCGTAGAGACTAACAAGCTTATAATACTATATAAATTTTTTGTTAGTCTCTAAGGTGCTAGAGGACCACTCATTTTTTAAGTTTTATTCGTTTCTATGTTGGCCAACTTAAAGAAAAGCTGACAGAAATCCCTTCGGAGCGCTTGGGCAGCGGACAGCCCTGTCCGCTGCCCACGTGTTCCACCGCTTTGCTTCCTCTCCCTGGTCTGCTGGAAACCAGGGAGAGGAACGGCCCCGTTCGTAACTGCGGATCCGACATAAGTCGGATCCGCGTAACTCGGGGACTGCCTGTAGATGTTTTTTCCCTTACTGCCAGAAAACAGTAACGCCCTTCAGATGAATTAAAATAGCTAGCAACAGCTTTTCTTCATACTGGAAGAAGGATACAAATTTACTATTTTGAATGCTCTTTGGTGTAGTCTGGGGAAAAAAAAAAAAAAGCCTTGTAAGACAAACTCAGAAGTCTGTTATGGATAACACCTAGATTATTTCCATAAAATAAGGAAAGAGTCATTAACACTCCAAAAGTCACTCCTCACATTTTAATATATTGCTACCCAGTTTTTGGCACTGTTCGTTATGTTGGGAATCTGTACCTCCCTGTAGTTTGGAATTGTTATACCAGAAGAGGTGAAAGGTACCGATTGTGATTCTGTTTGGTGATGACCAATTGGGGGGATGATGTTTTTATTATTATTATTATTATTATTACTGAAAGTCTTGCACATCCATTAGATCAGAAGTCACATTTCATTGTTGTTTACCTCCGGAGTACCACTTCTAGTTTAAGTGTTCTAGGGAAAAGCTGAGGCAAGGAATATATACAGATTATGCCAATATAATAAAGCAACTAAGGCATTTTTGATAAATATTCTCAGGCTGTTTTTTGCCAATTATGCTTTAGAAGAGGTTTTTGGCGTATTTTTCTCTAAGCCATGCTGGTGTTAGCTAAAAAGTTACGTTTTCTGAGGAAACTTATTCCAGCTGCTGTGTAATAAATGAGCTTTTACAACAGCCCAGAACAAAAGTTATTTTCTGCTCTTTCCCAGTCCTCTTCTCCTTTTACCTTTTTAAACCCCCTTAACAGGTTTGGATACATGACAGTTAAGAAATATGATGCCATGGAAAAAACCTTTGAAGGTGCTTTTAGTTTTATGTCTTTCCTCATGTCTTTTGTGCTTCCAGCGGATTGTGTCGCAAAAGGGTGTTAACGTGTACACAGTTGCCAAGGTATCAAATGAAAATGTGTATGAAAAGTATTAATTCTACAGAGTAATGCAATCTAGTTTTAGATAAAGCAATACATTTAAAATAACTAGAAAGCTAAATTTTAAACTTTTTGGGGGGAGTAGGAAATTCTGTATACAGATTAATATTGCCCAAGTGCATTTGTTTATGCTTTCTTGCTTGCAATTAGGGATGTTAGTTATTGTTGAATTGAATAATCATGTAACCACACAAAATCTTATTGGTTACATGATAATTCAGTAATCCTCAGGGGCAGGGCTGGCAGCCAGTGCACTCCTGGCACACTTCTGGGGAGCTCTCTGGCACTCAGTGCTGCTGCTTTTCACAGAGGCTCCGCATGCAGACTTGTGCCCACCTGCTGCTCCGCACTGCTACCTGTGTATCACCCAAGTTCCCCGGGGACACAGGCTGTGCTGGTATCCTGCCTGCTCTTTCCTTCTCCCCACTGTCCAGTGCTGCCATCTCTGGGGGTGGGGACAGCCCCGCAAATCCAGTGCTCATGGGGGGGGGTAGCAGTTTTTAAGCCACCACCGTCCCCGCCCCCGTCCCCCAAAACATTGGCTCCTTCCTCCCCCCTCCATTGCCTCTGTGGGGGGGGGGGGCAGGCAGCTTCCCCATCAGCCAATACGCATGGAAAGCTGGCTTGAAAGCCAGCTTCCTGCATCTACCAGCCCTCCCTCGCCCTCTGCACTACTGCCTTTCTATCAGAGGCACAGCACAGTGGGTGGGGGCAGGTAGCTCTGTGGGACCAAGTGTGCCCCCCCCTTGTTGCTTCTCATACAGAAGACAGCAAGGGAGAGGGGAGTGCATGTAGTTGTTAGGATTAACTGATACGCCCAGGCTTACTGGTTAATCGTTTACATGACTATACATGACTATATGCTAACATCTCTATTGCACATCCTTTAAAGATTAAAACTTTCAAATATTAAATTAAAAACATTTCTGGTTTTAGGACATCTCGTCTACCCCATTCACTTGAATGAAGTATAAACACCATTGCTTAAGTAGTACCATGTTATTGGTAGATAACAGATACGTTTGTCTTAAAAAAAAAAAAAAAAAAGCCAATTACAAGGAATTCAGCTGCAAAAAATGTTATTCGTGTACAATAGACTGTAAGAAGTCACAAAATGCTAAGGGTAAGGTTCTTAGAATAACATTGACTCACATACATTACATAGCCTACATCCTTTGTGTTTAAAAACAACACAGAACATGTTTACTTACAAATTTAACATGGAATTATGACATATATGGGTGTAATCTGCTCATAAGAATGGCCGTACTGGGTCAAACCAAAGGTCCATCTAGCCCAGTATCCTGTCTGCCAACAGTGGCTAATACCAGATGCCCCAGAGGGAGGAATCACAATATGTAATCCTCACATGATCACCTCCAGAGAAACAGAAACTAGGGATACCATTCCTACCCATCCTGGCTAAAAGCCATTGATGGACCTAATCTCCATGAATCTATCTGGCTCTTTTTTGAACCCTGTTAAAGTCTTAGTCTTCACCAATCCTCTGGAAAGGAGTTCCACAGGTTGACTGTGCACTGAGTGAAGAAAAACTTCCATTTGTTTTAAACCTGCTGCCTATTTCATTTGGGCTATGTCTAGACTGCAGGCTTCTTTCAAAAGAGGCTCTTTCGAAAGATGCTTTCGAAAGAGCCTCTTTCGAAAGATCGCGTCTAGACTGCAGGCGGACTCAAAGTCTTTTTAATCTCTTCAAATGGAACCCATTCCAAACTCCTAATAATTTTTGTTGCCCTTTTCTGAAACTTTTCCAGTGCTAATATATCTTTTTTGAGATGAGGGGACCACATCTGTACGTAGTATTCAAGATGTGGGCATACTTTGGTTTTATATAGAAGCAATAAGATATTTTGTGTCTTATTCTCTATCTCTTTTTTTAATGATTCCTACTGTTCTATTTGCTTTTTTGACTGCCACTGCACACTGAGTGGATGTTTTCAGAGAATGATCTACAATGACTCCAAGTTCTCTCTTGAGTAGTTGTAGCCAAAATTAGTCCCCATCATATTGTATGTATAGTTGGGATTATTTTTTCCAATGTGCATTACTTTACATTTATCAACATTAAATTTCATTTGCCATTTTGTTGCCCAATCACCTAGGGTGTGTCTAGACTACAGGGTTTTGTTGACAAAAGTCCACTTTTGTTGACAAAACTATACCTGCATCCACACTGCCTTTGAGTTATGTCGACATAACATCGACAAAACTCAGCAGTTTTGTCGACGTATGTAAACCTCATTCTACGAGGAATAACGCCTTTTGTTGACACAGTTCTGTCGATAGAAGGTGTTATTGCATCTAAACTGTCCTTTGCGTCCACGCTGTTATGTCGACAGAGCGGCTTGCTTTGTCAACAGAACTGGCTGTAGTCTAGACGCTCTTTGTCGACAGAAGATTTGTCGACAGTATCTGTTGACAAAACTTCTGTCGACAAAACCCTGTAGTCTAGGTGTACCCTTAGTTTGGTGAGAACTTTTTGAAGCTCTTCACAGTCTGCTTTGGTCTTAACTATCTTGAGCAGTTTGATATCATCAGCAAATTTTGCCACCTCACTTTACCCCTTTCTCTAGATCATTTATAAATAAATTGAATAGGATGGGTCCCAGGACAGACCCCTAGGGAACCCCACTAGTTACCTCTCTCCACTCGGAAAACTTACCATTTATTCCTGCCCTTTGTTTCCAGTCTTTTAACCAGTTATCAATCCACAAAATGATCTTCCCTCTTATTCCATGACAACTTACTTTACTTAAGATCCTTTGGTGAGGGACCTTGTCAAAGGCTTGAAATCTAACTATACTATATTCACTGGATCCCCCTTGTCCACGTTTGCTGACCCTTTACAGAAACCATATTGACTTCCCCCAA